CACTGTGGACAAAGGAGGTATTAGATAGAACCATATAGGTTTTGTCATTTTTTTATAGATCAAAAATGATTAGCTGGGCGCAGTGGCTCACACCTATAATCCCAGTACTTTTGAGAGGCGGAGGTGGGAGGATCACCTGAGGTCTAGAGTTCAAGACCAGCCTGGCCAACATAGTGAAACCCCATCGCTACTAAAAATACAAAGATTAGCTGGGCATGGTGGGAGGCACTTGTAATCCCAGCAATTCAGGAGGCTGAGGAAGGAGAATTGCTTGAACCCGGGAGGTGGGGGTTGCATTGAGCCGAGATCATGCCACTGTATTCCAGCCTGGGCAATAGAGTGAGACTCTGTCTCAAAAAAAAAAAAAAAAAAAAAAAAAAAAGAAAAGAAAAGAAAAAAAGGTCAATTAGGGCAATTTAATAGAATTCAACCCAATACAAATATGGAATGTGGGAAGAAGGGGGAGAAAGCTGAGGTGTGGCTTAGAAATATTCAGATGAACTCATGACACTAACTGTGTCCCCTGAGAGGGCCCAGAAAGCAGTGACACCCCAGTAGCCATGAGCACATTCAGTACCCAGAGCTTGGTCTCTAAATCCCATTTCCTTGTAAAAGGGATTGGAGTTTCTCTGAAAAATGACTGACTTCAGGGCTTGGGCAGGGAAGAGGTGCCCAAAGAATAATGGAAATGTCAAAAGGATGCAGGAAAGATGTCCACATTGGACAATTAACTGTGGATTAACTCAGAATATGATATCAATGTTAGATTTCCCAATTTTGTATGAAGTTATGGTGGCTATATAAGAAGCTGGCCTTATTCTTTTTTTTTTTTTTTTTGGACAGAGTCTTGCTCTGTTGCCCAGGCTGGAGTGCAATGGTGTGATCTTGGCTCACTATAACCTCCACCTCCTGGGATCAAGCAATTTGCCCACCTCAGCCTCCCAAGTAGCCAGAATTACAGGCACCCACCGTCATGCCCAGCTACTTTTTGTATTTTTTTGTAGAGATAAGGTTTCACGCTGGCCAGTCTGGTTTTGAACTCCTGACCTCAGGCGATCCACCCGCCTTGGTCTCCCAAAGTACTGGGATTACAGGCATGAGCCCCGGGGCCTGGCTGAGACTGGCCTTATTCTTAGGAAATACACAAATTGAAGTATTTAGTGGCAAAGGTGCACAATGTCTTTGTTGCAACCTCGACCTCCTGGGCTCAAGTGATCCTGCCTCAGTCTCTCAAATCTCTGGGATTACAGGGACATGCCACCATGTCTAGTTAACTTTCGTACTTTTTGTAGAGCTGGAGTCTCACTATGTTGCCCAGGGTGGTCTCAAACTCCTAGGCTCAAATGATCCTCCTACTTCGGCCTCCCAAGGTGGTGGGATTGTAGGTGTAAGCCACTGTGCCTGGCCAGAAAAAGTTTTTTACATATATATGGAGAGAGAGAGAGAATATGATAAAGCAAATGGGGTGACATGTAAACACTGATTTATCTGGCTAAAACATATACAGGAGGCCGGGCGTGGTGGCTTATGCCTGTAATCCCAGCACTTTGAGAGGCTAAGGTAGGTGGATCACCTGAGGTTGGGAGTTCGAGACCAGCCTGGCCAACATGGTGAAACCCCATCTCTATTAAAAGTATAAAAATTAGGCTGGGCATGGTGGCTCACGCCTGTAATTCCAGCACTTGGGGAGGCCAAGGTGGGCAGATCACGAGGTCAGGAGATCGAGACCATCCCGGCTAACACGGTGAAACCCCGTCTCTACCAAAAAATACAAAAAAATTAGTCTGGCATGGTGGCGGGCACCTGTAGTCCCAGCTACTCGGGAGGCTGAGGCAGGAGAATGGTGTGAACCTGGGAAGCGGAGCTTGCAGTGAGTTGAGATTGCACCACTGCACTCCAGCCTGGGCAAGAGAGAGAGACTCCGTCTCAAAACAAAAGAAAACAAAAAAATTAGCTGGGTGTAGTGGTGTGCACCTGTAGTCCCAGCTACTTGGGAGGCTGAGGCAGGAGAATTGCTTGAACCCGGGAGGCAGAGGTTGCAGTGAGCTGCGATTGCACCACTGCACTCCAGCCTGGCGACAGAAGGAGACTCCATCTCAAAAAAAGAAAAAAAAAAAAAAAAGATATACAGGAATTCTTCATACTGCTTTTGCAAACTTTTCTTCTCCTTCTTCCTCCTTCCTCCTTCTTCTTTCTTCTCCTTCTCCTTCTTTCTTCTCCTTCTCCTTTTTTGAGATGGTATCATATTATGTTGCTGGGGCTGAGGTGCAGTAGTTATTCACAGGTATGATAGTGATTCTCTAAGGCTGGAACTTGGACTCAAGCAATCCACCTGCCTTGGCTACCTGAGTAGCTAAGACTACAGGTGTGAGCCACCTTGCTCAGCTAAGTTTGAAATATTAGGATAAAAAGTCATCCCTCCCATCAAAAAAAGCATAGGACCCAGCTTAAAGGAGGTCTCTTGAGCATCAAAATGCATGCTGACTGAAAATGAAAAAAATACATGAGTTCATATTACTATTATATACATATATATATTTTTTTGAGATGGAGTTTCACTCTTGTCACCTAGGCTGGAGGGCAATGGCGCGATCTCAGCTCACTGTAACCTCCGCCTCCCAGGTTCAAGTGATTCTGCTACCTCAGCCTCCCGAATAGCTGGGATAACAGGCACGCACCACCATGCCCAGCTAATTTTTGTACTTTTTTTTTTTTTTTAGTAGAGACAGGATTTCACGATGTTGACCAAGATGGTCTCAATCTCTTGACCTTGTGATCCGCCCAACTCAGCCTCCCAAAGTGCTGGGATTGTAGGCGTGAGCCACCGCTCCGGGCCATATTTAATTTTTTTTTTTTTTTTTTTTTGAAACTCAGTCGCCCAGGCTGGAGTGCAGTGGTGTGATCTTGGCTCACTGCAAGCTCTGCCTTCCAGGTTCACGCCATTCTCCTGCCTCAGCCTCCCAAATATTTGATCATTTTTTAAAGGAGGGGAAAGTTGACCGCAAGTGCCTATAAATGTAGAAGAAACAATAAACTTGGGAAGCCATGATTTTGCAGCTTCACGGTGTAACAGTGAATCTACTCATTAACTGATGCTAAAACTGTTGGGCAAATGGTTATTGGAAAAACTTGATATTTGTGGTCTAAAAGAATGACCTCACACATGCCTTAATTACTCCACAAGGAGCAAGAGACCTTGACCACGGAGGAATTTCGCAGACCCGAAGTTGACCAACTGGTTAAACTTCATGTCTTCACTCATGGCCATGCTGATGTCCTACACCTCCTGCTGACTTGTCACCTCCCTTCACCATTGCCCCAAACGTTTAACCAAGGATCCAGACTGTGGGACAGTTTAAGGAAAATAAGAACAGACTTTTCAAAAACACCACTAAAGAATTAAAACCTACCAGGTCATGTGTGGTTCAGTAAGGCTCTGAGGTTGCACAGGGCATGGGACTGGCTGGCTGCATGGGAGGGCTGTGGCTAACCTGGGGCTTTCCCCAGGTTTCTCCAATGTACATAGGTGTCCGTGTTTGCCAGCATACAGGTGTGTGTGTGACATGGATATATCATCGACAGGAAGGCACAACAGCACCCATGCAGAGGAGGTGTCCTTAGACTCAGCAACGACTGCCGGGTGCGGAGGCTCCCAGCACTGTGGGAGGATTGACTGATAACTGCACCAGTTCCCCCTTCCATAGGCTTCTGCGCATCTGAGCCCTGGCCAAGAGTCCGCAGAGACAGACAGGCACATGGAGAGAGGAGCACCAGGCCCGGCTGAGCCGTGGAGGGGGCGGGGCGGGGGGGAACACGTGCAAGTGCTGTCCATGACGGGCCCAGGTGCTGGGAGCTAAGCACATTCGACGGCTGCGAGTCAGGAGGGCAGCTCCTTCTGAAAGCCTGGAGCTGGGGGCACGTGGCCCTGGTGGCAGTGAGGCCAGGTGCTTTCCCTGCTGCGGCGGCTAGGGATGAAGGTGTTTTCCGAGACTTCCAGCAAGCCCCTCTTCAGCATGGGTTGGTGCGGGAAGTCCTCGAATGCCTGTGGGTCCGCAGGAGCTCCGGTGAGACTCAAGTTCGCTCACCCCACGGTTCTGAAACCGGTCTCCCGCCTTTCCTACCCTCAGGTTTAGGGACCGTCTCAGCAGCCTCAGGGCTGCCAGATATTGCACTCCCATTTTACGATGAAGGAAATCAAGTCTAGACTTAGGGTCACGAGCCCCAACACCCAGGGAGGATCCGTACAGGGGCGGGGGGACTGCCCCAAAGCATAAAGGTCAGAAGGTGGACGCTGACCACAGGGACAGGTGCGCAGGGAAGAGGCTCAGCTGCTGGAGTGGAGGAAGCCGGGAGGGTCGGGGGAGAGCAGGGCACCTAGGTGGGGACGGGTCCAGGAGGAAGCGAGGATGGGCGAGCGCGGACGGCTGGGACCCCGCGGCTCAGTGCCGCTTACTGGGGGTGACAGCGCGTCCAGCCCCGGCCTAGCCTGGCCCCAGCGAGCCCGTCCGAGCCGCGCTTCCCAGAGGCAGAGGTCGGCCGCGCTCTCCGGGTCGCCTGGTCTGGCGCGGGCTTCGGCGGCCCCAGGGCGGGGCCAGTGCGCCGTGGGCGGGGAAAAGGCGGGGCCTGGCGGGACCCGGAAGCGCGCTGCGGCCCCGCCCCTAGGCCGCGTGGCTGCGCGTCCCGGCTGTTGCCGATAAAGTTGTTTGACGCCGGGCCGGCGGCGGGTCACGTGAGCGGAAAATGGCGGCCCCGGCAGGCGGCGGAGGCTCCGCGGTGTCGGTGCTGGCCCCGAACGGCCGGCGCCACACGGTGAAGGTGACGCCGAGCACCGTGCTGCTTCAGGTGCGGCCGCCGGCCCGTGGCGGGCGGGTGGGCGGGTGGGGGGTGCCGCGCCGAGGCCCCGCCCTCTGCAGTCGGCGTCCGGGTGTTCGGGGGCGGGGCCTCGACGGCCAATGAGCGGCCTCCTGCGCGGCGGCCCCGCCCCCTGCTCGCGGGCACCTGCGCTTCCGCGGGGGTCCCGGGGTTCCCAAGTGGGGGGCGGGTGGCGAGCCCTCCCAGGGGTGCGGTAGGAACGGCGCCGCGTCTCACCCCCCTCGAGTAGTCGGCGCCCGGCCGAGCCCAGCTCGCGAGGGCGCCGGGAAGAGGGAAGCGTGGAGCCCTAGACCCGCGTTCCCATCCCGGGGTGTCCCCCGGAGCGGGAGCCCGGGTTGCGCGGTGGCAGATGTCGCGGCCGTGGGGCCTGGAAGCGATTTTTGCCGAGTCACGCACTGCACTTTTAGTCGGGCACCTTGTGACCTCGAATCAATTACATGTAAAAGTATTGGCCGGGCGCGGTGGCTCACGCATGTAATCCCAGCACTGTGGGAGGCCGAGGCGGGTGGATCACAAGGTCAAGAGATCGAGACCATCCTGGCTAACACGGTGAAACCCCGTCTCTACTAAAAAAAAATTTAAAAAAATTAGCTGGGCGTGGTGGTGGGCGCCTGTAGTCCCTGTTACTCGGGAGGCTAAGGCAGGAGAATGGCGTGAACACGGGAGGCGGAGCTTGCAGTGAGCTGAGATCGCGCCACTGCACTCAAGCCTAGGAGACAGCGAGGCTGCGTCTCAAAAAAAAAAAAAAAAAAAAAAGTGAAGTATTTACTGAGCCTCTACTGCATGGGGGACCATGAGGACCCGAAGGTGCACACGACTGGGAGTTTGCGGGAGCATCCCACAGCGTGGGGTCGCTGGGCCTGGGCAGGTGAAGGGTGCAGCCAGGAGGCTGTTGGTGCCAGGCATGCAGAGTGCGGAAGTGGGGCGCTCCCGCAGAGGCTGCGCGGGACCCCTTGGTGCCAGGGCCACGGCTTTGGCTCATGGAGAAGAGGGGCGGAGGAGGTACAGGCAGTGGGAGCAGGTGTACAGAACTGTGCCAGAGCCAAGGGGTAGCCTGTGCTGGGCAGGTTTAAGGCAGGTTGCAGAACTACAGGGTTTGAAGGAGAGCCCAGGGTATGTGCCAGGAAGATGCCGTGTTGCTGTACTGCAGGGGAACCCTGAGCGGAGTTTTCCTACAAAACTGAGGGGATGGTGAGGAAGGGAGAGAGAGTGGACAGGATTTGCAGGTGAGAGCCTGCAGCTGTTGCAGGGACCGTCCATAGTGTGGTCTTGTGCTTGGCTTTGCCTGAGCAGAGCCACCTGGCTCACCAGGAAGCTGAGTGCTCTTGGCTGGCCTGGCCCACTGCGCCCGCCAGCCCTGCGCACTCAGCGGTTCACAGTCCTTTCATCTCATCCCCAGGTTCTGGAGGACACGTGCCGGCGACAGGACTTCAACCCCTGTGAATATGATCTGAAGTGAGTTTGCTCCAGCTCAGCAGCAGGGTCTGAGTATATCTGTGCCCCTGCCCCCTGAATATACTGGCGCTCACTTGGAAAAGCCCCCAGGTGGTTTTAAACAGTCATATATTGCCTCCCAGCTCTGGAGACCCAAGGTCTTGGCAGGGCCACACTCTCTCCGAATGCCCTAAGGGAGAATCTCTCTTGCCTCTTCCAGCTTCCCGTTCCTTGGCTTGTGGCCGGATTGCTCTCTGTCTCCAGTTTCTTGTGGCCTTTTCCTGTTTTCTCTGTGTCTTGGGAAGACCCTTGTCATTGGAAGACCCTTGTCTTTGGATTTTGGGTCCTCTTGGATAATCTAGAATGATTTATCATTACATCTCCAAAGACCAGGATACCCAGTAAGATGTTCAGAGGTCCTGGGGGGTTAGGACATTGACCTGTCTTTTTTGAGGGGAGCCACCATTCAACCTCCTGTAGGTTTTATGGCATTGGGTTGCATAAGTTCCCAGTGGGGCTCTGAGGGGAAAGAGCTGGCCATGGAGAAATAGGATGCCCTGAAAACTGCGGGTGGATCTCTGCAGTCTCAGCCCTGGGAATTGCACGCATGGTTCTGTGTGGGGGTAATTGTTCCCAAAAGAGGGCTTCTGCCAGACTCTCAAGGAGTCTGAGCAGAAGGGTCAGAGCCCTCATATGAGTAAGACATGCGTGTCTATCCCACACGCAAAGCTTTTCACTTTAAAAACCTGTTTTCTGTTGTTGTTGTTTTTTTTTTTTTTTTTTTTTTTTGAGACAGGGTTTCACTCTTGTCGCCCAGGCTGGAATGCAGTGGTGTGGTCTCAGCTCACTGCAACTTCCACCTCGTAGGTTCAAATGATTCTCCTGCCTCAGCCTCCCAAGTAGCTGGGATTAGAGGTGCTCGCCACCACGCCCAGCTAATTTTTGTATTTTTAGTAGAGACGGGGTTTCACCACGTTGGCCAGGATGGTCTAGAACTCCTGACCTTGTGATCCGCCCGCCTCAGCATCCCAAAGTGCTGGGATTACAGACATGAGCCACCACGCCTGGCCCTAACGACCTGTTTTTATAGTACTGTTGTCCTAACACTGGGGGCAGAGGGCAGGAGACTGTCCTCCCGGCCTTGCCCACCCTGCCTTACGGGGCTCTCCTGGGAGGAGTTTCTTAGGGTGATATCTGCCAAGTCATTCCAGCCTTCTACTTTGTGTCTGGACCATGTGATAATCCCAGGACCTGTGCTCTGAGTGCCAGGTGGTCTTGGGCTTCCTGCCGCTGACCTTCCCACCATCCTTCTCCAGTCTCTCTTGTCAACTGAAGAATGAGGTTCATACGTTTGGAAAGGAGGGCTTTATTTCTCATAACCGGTTGCAGCTTGCAGGGTGGCCATTCTAACAGGCCAGGAAGTGTAGCCTCCAGCCAGAAGCTAGAAACTGACACTTCAAGAGAGGGAAGAATAAGACAGGGATTTACACCGAATGGGGTGGCTGATACAGGCGTACTTAATACACTGTAGGAGGATCGTGAGTATTCACGAAAGGAGAACTGTGCACACAGTTGAGCTTCCTGCCTCTCCATGGGTCCTATGTTCAAAAATTGGCAACGCCAGCATGACCTGAGGGTGGAATTTTTGGCCTCTGAAGTCAGAGGTGAAGCAGGCTGGGCGAAGTGGCTCATACCTGTAATCCCAGCACTTTGGGAGCCTGAGGCAGAGGATTGCTTGAGCCTAGGAATTCCAGATCAGCCTGGGGAACATAGTGAGACCCTGTCTCTACAAAAAAAAGTAAATAAATAAATAAATAAATAAATAAATAAATGGCAAACCAGCGGACATGAAGACCCTGACCATGCCACAAAAACCCTGACCATGCCACGAAAACCCTGACTGTGCCACGAGAACCCTGACTATGCCAGAACGACTCCATGGTTGGTGGTTTCTTATCAGGAAGAAATACCTGTGGGTTGTTTTGAAGAAACCGCAAGAGAGAAGGGCCTGGCGGAAGGTTGGCTGATGTCAGATACCAGCCCAAGAGTCTTTGGAAAGGCTGCTTTCTGTTTATCCCTTAGGGAAGAGAGCCTGTAGGCGTGTCTGATCTCCCACCCAGCCATGGCCAGGAACTCAGCTTTCAAGGTTTCTGGGGTCCCCTGGGCCAAGAAGAGGCCGGTTCAGTTGGTTGGGGGCTTAGGGTTTCATTTTTATTTCTTTTTTATTTTTTTATTATTTTTTGAGATGGGAGTCTTGCTCTGTCACACAGGCTGTAGTGCAATGGTGCTATCTTGGCCCATTGCCACCTCCGTCTCCCAGGTTCAAGCGATTCTCCTGCCCCAGCCTCCCGATAGGTGGGATTACAGGCATGTGCCACCATGCCCAGCTAATTTTTGTATTTTTAGTAGAAACGGGGTTTCACCATGTTGGTTAGGCTGGTCTTGAACTCCTGACCTCAGGTGGTCTGCCCACCTTGGTCTCCCAAAGTGTTGGGGTTACAAGCATGAGTCACCGTGCCCTGGCCATTATTTTGAAACACAGTCTTGCTCTGTCACCTAGGCTGGAGTGCAGTGGCATGATCTCAGCTCACCGCCACCTCTGCCTCCCGGCTTCAAGTGATTCTTGTGCCTCAGCATCTTGAGTAGCTGGAATTACAGTCACGTGCCATGCCCGGCTAATTTTTGTATTTTTAGTAAAGGCAGGGTTTCACTATGTTGGCCAGGCTGGTCTCAAATTCCTGACCTCAAGTGATCCGCCCGCCTTGGCCTCCTAAAGTGCTGGGTTGATAGGTGTGAGCCACCGCACCTGGCCTCATTTTTCTTTCTTTCTTTCTTTCTTTTTTTTTTTTTTTTTTTTTTTTTT